GAAAGGAAGACTGAACACCTGACGGTTTATTGACACAACCGGTGATTTGGAACGAAGTCGTTCCCGTCCAAAGAAAAGGCAACTGCTGTGATGGTGTATTTCTCCAATCATCATCTAAAGTGACTGGACCTCTGAGCTGTGCTCCTGGCACGTCTTGGCCCTGCACACGTGTCTGTCTAGCTGAACTCAGCAACACAACGTCGACCGGACTGTCGACAGAGCTGGGACTAAACAGGTGTGCACGAGGTTCAACATGCACACGCACGAGCAGCGATTGTCCGCTGCGAAGCCAGAAATCAACACCTTGGTTTTGGAGAAAAGGCTTGGTCACTGTTTGGTCTTGTGATGCTACTGGATTTGGAGGACTACAGGGTAACACAATCTCGTTGTTTCCGCAATGGCTAGAGGCTTCTGGTAATGCAGGACCTGCATGCAAGCTCGAAAAGCGAACCGATTTCTTAACACCCTTTTCATCGTAATTCAACTGGTCCTGATTCAACTCAGGTTGTCCTTTGGCGATCGTCTGCTGTGAGTGCGGCCCTCTTGCGCTTGACACCGCCATCGCCTGCAACAAGGCTTGCGTTAACGCACCCAAAACATGACACTGCTTTTGGTGTGCATGGGCAATGTCTTTTTGGTGAAGATGTTCTTCATGAGAACCACACTGACACTGGTCCCTACTAGGAAAAGGAAAGTTGGTCAACAGTTTGATCTTGGAACAACATGGTTGGTTGGCATGAGGCTCATAGTTACACCATTGGTGAAGAGACATGTGCAAATCATCAAACACTTCACGCATTGCTCGAAGGTTCCATGCCTGACTCCTATCGTTAGCCCCAACTACTACAAAACGACCCTTTGTCCGCTGCTGCTGGATGAGGCGGACCAGGTGTTCTGAACGAAGGGCATCATGTCGGTTTCCCGAACCTGAGAAGGGTCCTGCAAGGCGAATCCACAACAAAGCTGGTTTCTGGAACTCCAGCTCGGTCAGCAAGTCCTGGCACTGTTTTCTACTATGCAAATCATGGTGGAAATGCACGGTACGGAAGTGAAGATCTTGCAGAAGACGTTGACGGATTCCTGCCTTGTCAGAAAAAACCCAAGCCGTCTCCGCTTGACTCTCACTCAAGTCATGCTTCACATGTGACTCGGATGCTTTCATACTTGGCACATGGGTCTCGAAGCTGTGTTCATTCTCATCGGCAGTGTGACCAGCTTCAACGTCCACACTGCCCTCAGTATGCCGCCGGGGTCAGTTCGAAGAGCTCGTTGCTCCACCTGGCTTGCGAGACGGTGGAGACTGTGAGCGGTCATGACGAACTGACATGTTGAACTGCAATTCTGACTGTCGTGAACGACTGGAAGGATCCGTGGGTGATGGATGCACAGGAAGCACCCAATGTCCACTGTCGGTCAATTCCAGCTCATACACTTTGCTGCCTGGTGACAAACGCAGCTCCATGCCGCCCGGACCAGGAATCACCAGACGGCCATTGCCGCAATCAATCAGCGACTGCATTCTCCGAAGAGTGCGATTGCCAAGCAATGGAGGCAACATGCTTTGATCGATCATGGGAGCAGTATAGGATGCGGGAGTTGCATCACCGGCTGCATCGATCACATTCATGCTGATGCGCGCCGAAATGTCTGCTACATGAGCTTGCTTATACACACCCTCAACCGGCAGACTCTTATCCATTTGGCGCTCTTGCAGTTTCGAAGCCAGCTCTTGGCACATCTGACGAGCTGTCACGGAACCAATGAGGTTGTCACGAGCACCTGGGTCAATCAGGAGACCTACCGTTCCATCCTTGCGACGAGTGCGCAAATGGTATGCTGCTCCTATCTGTGGCTGAGTCTGACGATCACATGTCGCTCCATCCTCGACTTCCCACCAGGGAAATGAGGCTGCATCTTCGGCCCGTCCTGAGTGCGGAAATGCTGCTCGACGTGTTGGCTCACTGACTGTGGATGATGCAGAACCGGAGCGAAAGGGATTATACCCGGAATCCAGTGGATTGAACCCCGTGGAACGTGGCACTTGCACCTGCTCCTCATGACCTGCCATGGACATAATGCGCAATGTCGGCGGTGCGTGCATCGAACCGGCTTGAGGGGGCTGAGGCTGTTCAAAGCCCATCATGATGGTCATGAGGCCCTGTTGGTTTCGTGCACGCAGTGCCTCGTCCTCTTCGCGGGACATATGTTTAATAGACCCGGACTTCTCGAACTCTGCTTGGCGTGACCGACGAATGGTGCTTCTGATGGCGGTGGAAATTGCGGCTCACGAGCACCTTCCAGCAGCGGCGTCACTTCGGCCGCAGTGTGCAACGATTCTGCACGTGGAGGATGACCAGGCTCCCGCGTGGGAGCCGCTGGAATATGCTTCCTGGACTGGACGATGGCGCAGCCGACTCTGCGCGAACAACTTCTTCGACCTCGACTTGGTTTGCATGACGCTTTCGGTGGCCACTGGAGACGACACTGCCCGTCTGAGAAACACTTCTGAGGTTTTCGAACTCGGCACCAAAGAAATGAACACCAGGGAGGACTCCAGACGACATATACCTGACGGACCACCCCACGCAACCGACCGACCAGACCAAAGTGCTAACTGGTTAGACGAAGGCTGACCTGCATTTGGTGCGGGGGAAAGGGATGCAGCACTGGAATACGAATTCCCCTTACCTCCCTCAGCACGTTGTGGACAGCGACGCCACAAATGCTCATCCGATTGGCAGATGTTACAACGCATGATCTGTCCTGACTTGTCTTTGGGGTTCTTCTTCACACCTAAATAACCTTTATTGCCTCCTTGTGAACCACCTTTTCCACCTGCAAAAGCACCTGGCGGCAGGAATGCTGCATATCCACCTCCCTTGTGACCTTTGCGCGAACCTTTGCCGAAACGACGATAGCGACGTGGATAGCGACCGCTGACACGACGCCACTGCTTGCGGGCGTATGCATAATCTTGGTACACTTCTGTTGGATCGAGTCCATCCACATCAATCGAACCTGCACCATCATCTGAGCTGGTGTCTGTGCTTCCAGTCTCTTGGAAATATGCAGTACCACATGTGGGACATACATCCGACTCTGCATGATAGGCTGAACTCGGCTGCCAATCCTGCCAGATATCACCCCCGGTTGGTGGGCCGACCGATGGTGTTGCGCTCGGCCGTGCGCCGAGCCATGGATCTGACGGCATTGGGCCACCTGACGCCAAAACCGAACCAGCTTCCGGAACGAAGGTGGGAAAGAACTGCTCACCTCCGGTGGGTGTTGCACCTGAAAAGAAGTTGCCGCTATCACCTGTTGCACCTTGGTGATGTGAACCTGACAAACGACCTTCTCTCAAGTGAAAAACACGACGAATTCTCTCCATCAAACCACCTAGCTCGAACTCTTGAGCCGGCAATTGGCCGCCGAGAGGCGCTAAGAGACGATCCCATGTTTCAGCATTGAGCTGCAAGGACTGCGTGAGGAGCCATGCCAGGCCCGTCCAATTGATTCCAAAGCCGGCTCGAACATGGGCCCGATTCCTGAGAATGTCGAACCGTACCAGGGTAGAATCTATGGATTCTCCAGGCATGCGACGAAACGACAAAAACTCTGCGATGCTCTTGGTAACATTTTCTGCTTCCAACGGCGCATAGCGTCGGCCAAGCACAGTGACCAGAAGCATCAGGCCGGTGAGCTGCTGTCCTGTCATGGGATCTATATCTCCATGTTGCAAGTGGTGTGGAGTGAGCTCATTACAAGCTCCTTCGCTGACCGCTGACCCTTGGACTTGGAGCGCCGCAATAGGCCCATGTCGAACGGCCTCCAGGTCACTGGCGCTGGCCCAAGGGACCAGATCGCTGATCCATGCTCTCAAACTATAGATGTGGTTTCGTTCTATGCTCCAACTGGGGGGCACTTTCAACGTTGCGGTGCCTACAAAAGGAGGACCCGCGTCCGATTGATGGACATGCTGTCGTGGCTGTCCGTGCTGTGAGGGATGTGGTCTATATGGACCTTGCTGCATGAAGCAAACAATGGAAATCATGACTATGGGAGGCATGCTCACGAGGAGAAAAAAACCGAAGCGACGTACTGGCGCCGACTTTGTGAACCACACTCGACTGGCTTGCGCAAATGCAGCACCTGGATGTGCTGTCGTCGTCTGATGCTTTTCATCCAGTCGTCTGTTCTGGCGTTTCTCACCACTTGCAGCTTCCAATGAATCCCGAACAAATGTCAATGTCTGTTCACTAAGCTCATGCAACAATCCATGCGACTGTTTGTCTACTGGTTGAATATAGGAATCATCATTGTAAGCAACAAAAAATCCACTTCCATTCGCCAAGCTTACGCGCAAACGACCGTCCGCGTCCGCAAGAACATCAGCGGTGAAAGTCATCTGGAATCTTTGCTGCTGTTGTGCACTCGTGGTTGTTGTCACTTCAACGACTGCAACCTGATCATTGTGCTCATGAATGTCATGGGGCAACAACGCACTGCTATTGTCCTGTCCATGCTCCGACTCCATGCGCATTCCGGTGGGCATCGGTGAAGTGCCGTCTGTCGTAAGAACCAGCAACGTAAAGACACCAACGCTGGAAAGAAGGCAGAGCAATGTCAAGACAAGCGTCCGTGCAATGCAACCACAACGCCCTGGAGCTTCCATGGGCTCCGCTACCAAGTTCAAATCTGAAGCTTGGTAGCGGGCCCTCCCAAATCTGCCGACGTCCAAAACAACAGGCCTCTCCGCAGCGTGCAAACCTTTTCTCGTAACAGCTGAAGTGCGATGCATAGGCCTGATGGCCAAGGACTCAGAACATGGCAAGGAAGGGCTACTCTATACAAAGATCTACAATGACTACCTCGAGGCTTGCGAAATGTGGCATCGGCATGCATTGGTGAAAGCTCTGATGTCCGCCGTGAGGAAATGCTCGTACCTGAGGAAATGCTCAACTGTCAACACCTTTCAACTCCTCCAACCTAAAAGCAATGGCCTCAACCGAATAGCAATGGCCTCCAACCTGGTAGCGATGGCCTCCGAACACAAAAATGTACAAAATACTAAGTGGATATCTAAGTGGCCAGTTGAAAATGTGTCTTCCAAGCTGCATCGTGCAAACACTGTTTTTGGAAGTGCAAATGTTTACCCAACTTAGTTATTGAGGTTGTCCAGCTTTTTCACCGGACCAACCCTACTGACCCTACTGCTGTCCAGAAACTGGTGCGAAAACTCCACTTTCAAGGGAACCAATAACATTTCTTTCTTGACCTGTAAGGTTCAGGATGCCTGTGATGAGCTTGGTCTCAAGATTGACTCCGACATCGACGACCTCTATCTTTCCTTTGAGGGTTCAAATAGGTGTTACTTCCTAAGCGTAGGAGCCAACAGATCGCATGCTAAGCCTGTTACTGAGGAACCAATGCCAGTAGGGAAGGATGCCACAACCAGTACCGAAGGCCTCTTTGATGTTGTGTGAATTTGAAGTAACCCCGGGCAAGTTTCTGACGTATCAATAACTGCTGGGTGAACATTAACAAATTACGTTTGTTTGACGTTTGGCCCCAATTATGATGGACGGATTCCTTCTGTGTCGCACAACCAATGAGTCCAGTCGAGGCCGCACTTGATTGAAAAGTGATGAAAAGTGCAATGGTTTGCATCAGCAACTTTGTAAGCCAATTCAAAAGAAGTGGGTACAAGTTTTTGATGCACTTGAAAGTCAAACGAACATCTCAATTAGTTTTACTTTGAAAATCTTTTACTCACTGGAGTGCAAATTCCTGCTTTTTTGCAGAGAAATTCTGGCAGGCGACAACTACATTTGCCGTTTTGGATGACAACCACCGACTGACCACAAGGGCCAAGTGAATCATTGGGTGTCGTGGTCATACACTGTTGAATTGTTTTTGATGCAAGTTTTGTCCCTTGTTCAAGGCTCCGTCCACCGGTGTACTCTTCTAATTATATACCGACTGTGCAGTGACTGCAAAACGGTTGTTGCCCAAATATATATATAAATATTATATATAATATATATATGTCACTTCACTCCCTCACGCATACCCCTATTTCTTTCGTGGTTGCGCAAACCAAGTTTACGTGAGACGACCTGCTGACTGCTCATTCAGCCAGCAGTCACAAACCGACTCCGGTCACCTCCCATCTGGACACCTTTTGCGTGCCCAGACTCATGACCGCAGTCTCGCTTGACCTTCCCCCCACTTTAGCAGTTAAGCGAGGACCGCATTCCCCCACTCTAACACCCAACACCGACGTGAGGAGAAGTCGACGACGAGAACGTCCCCTGCCTGTCACCAAGGATCTTGCCACCTCAACTGTCCCTTCTTTGTCTTCACCGAACCTTTGTCAGCCTTCATGGATGCTTGCTTGGCCTCCTTAGAAGTCTTGTAGAGCTTCAACTCCTCATCCAATCGGCCTGCTTTGTCCAGGAGGTCGCTCATGACCAGGAACTCCAACTCCTCGAACTTCACATCTATTCTGTTCCTCCCGTCAAAGTCGTCGAATCGTTGGTTTGTGAGATCGTCGGCTTCTTGGTTTTGCCAACGAGGAACCCATTGCAGATCTAAATCTATGCCCCGTCGATCCAGCTGGACTGCCAGCTCCATAGCAATAATGCTCAAGGGGTACCGGCTGCTGCCATACTTTCGAAGGACGTGCGTGTTGCCCAAATTGTCGGTGAGGGCGCTGAGAGTCACCACTGAATCTCCTTCGGTCCACTCGGCCTTCGGCGAGAAGACCATGACTGCCGCCAAGACCCCAATCAGCTCCAAGCTCGCGATGGATCTGAAAGGGTCACCTTTGAGATAGGCCCAGGGTGCACAGTCTTCCTCGTAAGCTGAAAAGAGAACCACCGAGCTTCCTTCTGGCACACCTTCTTCCAGGTCTCCCAGCCTCCTATCACGATTTCTTCTCCCGCAGCCTTCGCATCCACCCTGAAGATGTCGTTGGGTGAGTTCAACAGCGGCTCCAAGCCTCTCGTCGGCTTTCTGGCGACCTCCCCCTTTACGAACTCCAGCAGGACGACCACGGCGTCAGGAAATTTCGCGAAAGTGCCACCAGCCAACGTCGATGCCCACGAGAACAAGGGTGCCAGAAAGGGTCGTACATGACGTAGTGCTCCTGCTACGAAGGAGAGCCGGCCCAAGACCGACTTGAGCTCGCGCCCCACGACCCCTCCTTGTTTCAGTTTCTCATCGACCCACTTCATGATCCACTTCTGCTTGGATTCGTTGATGCCCCTCTCGAAAGTCGCCACGTTCAGGTAGTACCCGATCCAGTTTACTTCCGTGCCACCCTTGACTTTGGCCCAAGTGATGGGAATCTCCAGCAATTCAAACAAGAAGAGCCACATCAGGATCTTCCTCCAAAACTTGGTTCCCGTGGCAGTCAACCACCCATCATCCGCGTAGATGAGGTGCAGCACACCCATGTAGCGACCCATGATGCGGTGACAGGATCTGACCGCCACCCCAATCACGCGACCAAACCAATAGGCTGCACTTGCGATGCCGAAGGTGCCTCGCGTGTGAACGTAGATGTCACCAGTCTTCTCGCCCGGAAGCCTAAACGCCTGCAGGCCCCAATCGTCCTCTCTGACCGGCACCAGCTTGTGTGCTCGAGCTATGTCGTAGAGCACCGAGAAGCGGACGACCTCATGCCTATCGCGCTTCTCCTCATTCACCTGTCTGAGCACTGCTGCCGCGTCATCGATCAGCGGGAACCTCATGCGGTCTCGAACTCTGATCCTCCGGTTGACATCGACACTGTAGCTTCCATCGTGGATCAACCGGACACGGGTGGTGCCCAGCTCTTTCGGCACTGCTCCCAGGGCAGCCACCGCCAACCTGCCGCCAAACCTCTTCTTCGCTTCCTCCTCCGAGAGCTTCAGGATCGTGCCCTTCTCCACCTCCTCTCGGACTTGTCTAACAATGTCCTCTGCATTCTCCTCGGCCGACGTGTAGTTGTCCGCCAAGATATCCTGAAATTCTTCATCTGTTGGGTCAACCGTCCACTTCTGCTTCTCCTCGTAGACCAGCGGGTTTCGGGGCATCTCTTCGTCCACTCCAAGACTGACCCCTTTCTCGGCCACCGTGCCCAGGAAGTCCGAGTCTTCGTCTTCGAGAGCTGCAGCGACCGCCCTCAGCCTCCTGAAGTTGATCTCTGTGCGCCGATCTCCCTCTTGCCGCTCTGGCTCCAAGCCTCTCTCCTTCAACCACAAGTCGAGCCTCTCTCTAAACCCGAAGATCTCGCCCCCAAAGGGGGTGCCCCCGAGCTTGCCCGCGGCCATAGTCCAGAAAAGCTTCTTCACCGTCTCCTCGCCCTCAAGCTCCACCCAATCATCGAAGGCCTTCAAGCACCATCTTGCCAGCAGTTTCCCTCGTTCTGTGGATGGCGCCGTCCTTCTGCCTACCGGCCACCTGCCGGGCGAGCAGAGGCCTGCCCCGTCATGGATGGATCTGAGTTCACCCTTGTACTTCGCTTGCAGCGGTGGCCCAATGCCAGGTCTTGACGAGGTCTTCCTTGCATCTGGTTCTGCTTCTGCTGCTCTGGCCACCTTCTTCACTGACTCTTCGGGTTGCAAAGTAGTCAAAGTCAAAGTCTTCCTCTTCTCTCCTCCCCCCCTCTTTAGCTGAAGAGGGAGCTTTGCTGGGGTGTTCCAGGCTGTGGAGGATTGCGACAGCGATGGCTTGATCCATCTTCTCTGGGTAGATGGATGTGGTGGTAGTACGGAAGGTGTGGTCTGTTGAGGTACGGGCCAAGGACACGGTTGGTTTGCAGCTGCATAGATGTATTGCTGGCCCTGTGTAGCTGCCTTCTGCATCGAAGGTGGGCCAAGATGTGGGCCCCCACTCCTGCATCATGGAGAGATTTGTCACCAATCGTGTGGGCTTACGGTAGGGTGCTCCCCAGCAGCACTGGTTGAACGCCACCGTGAACAAGCCTGTTGAGGAAGTGCCTGAAACAAAGCCACGCAGCTCCTCTAACTGCCAGATGGATGCTGGGTGCATGCGCATGCCATCTTCTTCTCTATAGATGATGCCCAAGTCCTCGGGGTGTTCCCCGAAGATCAGCACCAAGCTGCCGTCGGCTGCAAAGGGGTGTTGTTCCAGTGTCTGCAGCACCTCAATCGTAAAGTGTATCAGGACGTTTCCCAACTCTGCATCTTTCTTGTGGCGGTTGGACAGCCACGGAAACCCCCACGGGTGTTCCCGAGAACGAATCATTGGAGGTCCTCTGCAGTTTGCCCCCCGCACTCGACTCCATGTCGAACAAGGAGGTGTGATCAACACGACGTGGTACTTGCCCTCTGTCAAGGCTTGTAGCAGTCTTTGCTGTAGTACTCGATCTGCTAGATCCCACTCTGGTGAATTCTGGATGTCCACTTCATGCACCTGAAAATCGATGCCTTTTGCACTGCCCAACTTCTGGAGAAAAGATGCCACTGACGCCTTGCGACTAGCGCCACTGAAGAGGTACAGCACATGGCACTGACGTATGCCTCTCGTTGTGCAATCTTTTGCAGGAGAAGGTGAGGCTGCCTTCCCCTGCTCCTCCTTTCAAGGTGCCTTGGTGCCCTCGGCCGCTCCTCCGGCCGTGTCCTTCTTGCCTGACCCGTCGCAGGCGTGCATGGGATGACTTCCGAAGCAGTATTGGCAGACATGAAGCCGTCCGCAATTGAATCTGCACCGATCCCGAGGACTGTTCCATTTCCAGCAAATCTGTCTCCCATCGGGGGTCTTGTCATGGACGGTGCGGCCCTTCTTGTTCTTGCCGCCTTTGCCACCTCCTTTCTTCCCTTTGCCTTTGCTGCGAGGTGGCTCCCATCTATCCTCCGCCCAGGTGCGCCAGCCCCTGATCGGACTCCGAGATCGATGCTGCTCTCCTCTGTGCGAAGATGTGCCCGACACCTGTGAGTACACGTTCGGGGTGAGGAAGTAGCGCTCCTTGATGGTTGTATCGATCATTGCCTCCTTCAATGCCACCGCCAACGTGGCCCCTTCATTGGTGAGCTT